TTATTGAAGTTTATTTGAGAAATTTTGAATAGATTTGGAAGTTTTGTTCTTTGCTCGCCAATTATATAGCTAACTGAGGTCTCTGCTCCTTGTTTAACTGAATTGAAGTACCTGATTTTCTACTACGATTTGATTTGGATTGATTCGGTCCTTCTGGTTCTTTATCGGGAAACAGTTTGAAGATCACTTTACTTTCATAATATCATTACTCACTAGCCATATTTTATGTAACTGATCATGCTCCTGTCTCTTTGTATGTCAGAGCACAGTTTTTTTGTTTTTGGTTCGTTGCTGAGTTCCTGGTCTGTCTTGAATGCCCAAATGCTTCCATAATTATCCATGCTGCGATGAAAGGACTAGGAATTAGTGAGATAATTAAACCTTAAAGAGTGGTTTTGTGCTTCCACTAATATTATTATAAGCAGATGTTTTCTTGATTAAGGTGAAGGATTTTCCTTGGTCATTATTGTACTTAGATTGATTGAGACATCAAAGTGATGCATCTGTTCAAATTTGAAATGGCCATCCTGGAACATTTATCCAATACTGGTGAATGTATGGGAGGGAGGCTAGGAGCTCTTTTTTCTTTGTTGTCCTTACTACTTGACAAGAAATGGCGATGGAGGGTACAAGGTAGTGGAAACTGTTATTTACGATTTCTACCAGAGTGATAGGTGTCCATGGCAAGATATCAGGACTCAAAGGTTTCTGCTAAGCTTGATCAATGAGTTTGAATAGACTTACAGCAGAAGGTGAGGCAGAAGATATGATATACGTTGTTGGGCCACTCTCTAATATCTTAAGTTTTTCAAGTTATCAATGGTCAGGCATGGTATTGGAGCTTTAGGGGGTCTTGGATTTATTTCTCTTTGCATATTGGTTTCCACTTTGTGCTTCTGCAGTAAGATGCACCCAGTTTAGCTTCTGTTTGTGCATATCTAGCATTTGGTTTTTAGGTTTTTAGCCTTCTCTATGTGGGAGGGTGGTCACACTTGAGGCGGCGTTGATAGATTGATGTGGATTTCAAACTTTTTCTCTGATAGTTTAAGGGTTCTTATTGATGCTCGTCCAAGGAGGGAGTTTGCTTTACCCAACTCCCTTTTATTTTGAGTAATTGGTAACCTGATAGGTGACTTCTCATTTCTTCTTAAAAGCATGGAGGAGGGGTGGAGAGATTCATAAAATGGATGTTTCTTTCAGCTTTTCTATTCCTCTTTCTCCTACTTTTCATTCTTGTATTTTTTCCTTTTTGGTGAGGAGAATGAGACATACTTCCATTCTGTTCTTTCCTTTTTTGTACTAACTTTATTTATTTTGCTCTAAAGGATCATATCCATGAAAAAGTCCATAATGGGTTGCTTAAGAAGTCCACAATGAGACATAATGGATGCTTTAATCGTTGCCCCAGTTGCTTAAGAAGTCCATAATGGGTTACTAATGATAACCCTTACCTCATGTGTAAGTGAAGAATACACAAGGGTTTCAGCATGGCAATGTATCGCATTTGAGCTATTGTTAATGTTCTCCTATTAATTCATTCTGCTTGGGCTTGTTTTCACCTTCTTGCAGTTTCTCGTGTTGTCATATTTTGAGTTTGATAAGAAATATGGAGTACTGAAATTTTGTTTCCTTAAAAGTTTCTATCTTCTTATTGTCCCCAGGTTGAGGATCAGAATAGCAAAACAATGTCAATTGGTGAATATGCTTCACAGAACATTGATGTTGATGATAAAGGGTTTGGGAAAATATTGTCACAAGAAGGTCTTGCATCTGATACCAAGGACATGGGAGAGTTAGCAAGTGCCATGGAAGTTTTAACTAGAGTGGACTTGGACTTGGCTTACTCCTCTGAGAAGTTGCTAAATTTGAACACACTTTTGATGAACTTGTTGTCGTGTGATATTAATTTTGAAGCAGTGGCCGCAGAAAATGACAGTATTGCAGGGGACTGCATTGAGAAGGCGTGGACATTTGATCTCTTAAATGGCATTTTAGATTCTGAGGTTAGAGAGTTGAACACTTTCATGGGTGCTCTAGAAGCTCTGATTGTCGATACTTGTTATAAAATAGCTTCATTTGGACACTTGGGAGATTTGGTTACTGCAGTGGAAGGTAAATTGCACGATTCAGAAGAATTGTTGAAGCAGTCACAAGAGCATGTCCTAGAGATGAATATGCAGTTGGCCAAGTTGCAGATGACCTCATTAGCTTCTAACCATAATGATTGTAAGTTACATATGTCCAATGAATAACCAGTTTGCTTAAAAGTGAAGATATAAGACCGTTTTCTGACACATGTTTCTTAACAGGGAAATATGACAGGGGAATGGGCTTATCACGAGATTTTCAAGTTTCCAATGTAGGTGTGAAATCACAAATGCAGATGGTTGAGCAAAGACAAATTCTTAGAATGCTGGAGAAATCTCTTGCAAGAGAGCTAGATCTTGAGAAAAAGTTAACAAAATCTAAAGAAAATGAGGAAGATTTAAAATTAAAGCTACGCCTAACAGAACAAGTAACTTTCTGCATGGAAGAGGCGGCAGAAGTTGTTTGGGGTAGGTTTTTAGAATCGGATAATGCAGCAGAGGTGCTTTTGGGAATTTCAAAGGGACTGGTGGGCCGACTTCAAGTTGTTCAATTCAATCTAAATGGTTCAGCCCAACGAGAAGAGCAGATGAAATCTAGACTCCAAGAATGCATAGAACAGTTGAAAGCTAAAGAAACTATTGTACAAAAGCTCAATAGCAGCAATGCACAACTTATTGCTGATAATTCTGAAGTATCTGCTTTGAAGGAAAAAGTTACATTGCTTGAAGCACAACTGAGAGAATCTGAATCCCAGCTGAAGAAAGCCAATGGAGTCATTGAAGTGACTCAAGATCAACTTAGAGAAATGGACAGTGTAATTGAGTCCCTGAAAGAAAATATTTATGCCACAGAAAGTAGGGCCGAAAGTGCAGAAGCCAAAATTGTGCAGTTAACAGAGACAAACTTGGAACTAACAGAAGAGCTGGGTTTTCTTAAAGGTAATAATGATAGCAGCACAGAGAAGGTGAGCTTACTAGAGAAGCAATTGAGGGAATTAGAACCACAACTACAACATGCAAGGGCTTCCTCTGAAGCAAGTCAAGAGCAGCAGAACTTGTTGTATTCTGCAATTTGGGATATGGAAACTCTGATTGATGAACTGAAACAAAAGGTTTCGAAAGCTGAAAGTAAGTGTGAGAATGCAGAGGAGCAATGCCTTATATTGTCTGAAACTAACTTAGACCTTAACAAAGAACTAGATTTTCTGAGGTCCAGAATGGAATGCTTGGAGACATCACTCAATCAAGTTAAGAATGATAAACTATCAAGGGTGAACGACATTACTGTTAAAACCAATCTAATTATGGACATGATCATGCAACTAGCCACGGAAAGGGAGCGCATACAGAAGCAGGTATTTTGCTTTCTTCTTTCTTACTTTTGCTTTTACTTGCACCTATTGTGTCTTTCTTACTCCCAATGAATTAAATATCTCAAAAGTTCTATAGAATTATTTAATCCGTTCTTCTTTTAAATTCAGATAATGATACATTGGCTGGAATTTTGTGCAGTTATATTCTTTAAGAGAGGAAAACAAAATTTTGAGGGTGAAGTTACAGAGAACAATGAAGGACGCATCTGTAAGAATACATGACAATGGAGGCAATTTTGATAGACCATCTTCCAAGCTTGGATCAGCTAATCCTATTCGTACTGAAATTTGCAGGGAAGTGGCAACAGAACCATCCTCAGAAATGTTCCAGGCAGGTGCCGTTACTGTCTTTTCGAATTTGTAGTTAATTTATGAGTGGGCTTGCAAATCATGAGATTGAAAGGATTATGTTAGGGGTGGTGATGAGTTTTTCACTGCCTGATCGGTTTTAATAGTACGTAATGTTGGTCCCTTCGGGGGGTTGGTGCTGGGTTAAACCAAAGACAGTTGGTAATACTTGGACAAAATATCTGCTGTCAAACTGGATTTGCATTCCGTACTAGGACACCATCAACCAGCAACCAAGTGAGAAATGACTAATATTCTCACAGTGCTGGACTAGTTGTTCGCTTTCTTGTTCTGCATTTATCTCACACCAGAAAACATTTTTTGCTTTTTATGTGTTTGGTTTCATAAATTGTAGTATACATAAAAAATATGGTTCTTTTGTCAATCAATTGCTTATGAGACTGGAATAGGTAACATTGAAGTCCAACCCAACTATGCAGATTGAAGGACTCATAAATCTGATCTCTCTCATCCTGGCATGTCTTCAGCATGATTCATTGAAACCTCCCTTTATTTTTTTTCCTGTTAAAATGTAAGAGGATAAGATTTTGAGGTGCTCTTACACTTTGATCAATTATCCATTGCATAACGAGAAATTTTGTCACCTTGCACTAGCTGTTCATTAGTTTCATACTTTCATTGTTGCTTTCCATTGTTGGGCTGTCAGTGTGCTGCGAGTCAAGTTTACTTTTCCATGCATCGAATACAATGGGAAATAGGTAATGCAGAGTTGCAGGCACATGGTGAGCACAGTGCACAGAAAAACTATTGTTTCAGCTTCTTCTGGATTATCAACTGGGAATTTTATAGAATATTTTGCTACAGGAAATGATATACAAAATTTCAATTTCCGAAGTGTCATTCATATTAATCGTCAACAGTCTTTTAACTTCTCTTTAATACAATCTAATTTAGTTGTTTTATTGCAGTAAGCATGAAAAATTTCATTCCATTTGTTATATGTCCAGTGTACTGGTGAAAGTTGGATCGTAATGAATTATCACAATTCCCTCTACTTATCAAAGGGTGCATGCATCACTAATGGAACACTTTGATAAATGTCTCTAGCTATATATTATTGTTCTGAAGGATTGCTCTGAATTTTTTCTAATCAGGTAGAAGAATTATCAAAAGATACACCTGCTAGTGAGACTGAAGTTGGGTCTTCCATCACTGCAGACAGTTCAACCAATTCGGTTCTTGACCAACAGGCCGAGGGTGTGGACGAGGCAGCACAGCCATGGCAATTGTATACCTTTATGGCACTAGCGGTTCTACTGCTTTCAATGTTAGCAACATATTTGCTTAACAAGACACACAGTCCTTGACACATATTTCCTGGAATGTATTTGCTTGTAGGATTTGATTGATTAATGTGGGTTTTGGAAGTTCCTTAGCATGCCCACAATTTGTTGTTAAGTTTCCTAGGATTTGCCAATTCTAATCAGAACAGAGATTGGATTGTGAATACTTTTATAATTTTTTTAATTGTTATTTTTTTCCCCTGTAAATATCAGTGAAGAACTGTGTTTATAAACTATTGTATTGTAATCTAAATGAATGCAGACATTGTTGATTGATTCTCTAACCAAGACTAAAAGGGCATGCACACTTGCGACATCTTGTGTGAGTTAGATATATGCAGTTTTATTCCATGTGAGGAGAGATTTTGATCTGTGACACGATTCATAATGTCCAACAATGGATAGCATTACTTTACCCAAGATTATCATGTAATATTTATGTTTTTTTTATAAAACAGTAACACTGAAAATAAAAAATTTAAAAGATTTACAGGTTTTGCTTGGTTGGGTATGCTTATTTGGGATGAGAACGTTGGGAAAAAAAAACAGGAAACAGCTTTCCATACATAAAAATTCCATTTCAGCCAAATTCAGTCATTTTAAAAGGGAATTTCATATTCCAAACGCAGAAACGAAATTAAGTTATCAAGTCTGAATAAGATACTTAATTTTAATTTGCCTGACTGCAATTGCTACAGATTTGATGAACAAATTTCAGAAACTTTGCCATTGAATTCCTAAGTTATTGTAGTATGTTTTTAATTCAACAGACAGGGGTATTCGAGTTAGTTAACGTGTATTTCGACTAATCCCCTTTTCAATCTGGTAAAAGATAAAGTTATCCATGTCAGAACTAAAGTATTCACGAGAAATAAATCTTTCATGATTTGATCCCAAAAAATTGTCAAGATCCGAACTCATTGGTGGTACCATGTATAAAAAATGACATGGTATTACAGTTATAGTTGGGTTTTTTTTTTTCCCAAGGCCATATAAGTTTGTGGGACAAACAAAACTAAAACCTTTTTATTGGGCCTTCAAAACAAATTGGGTCTAACAAAATGGGAGAGATTACACTTTTTAGAACTTATTCCTATTAAGTAAATAGTCAGATATTTTAGTAATTAAGTACCCATTCTCCTAAATATTTATTGACTAAATACATATTTTAAAATTTGCATATTTTAGTAATAAGTAATTAATGTACCCGACAATACAAAACTGTAGTTGCCAAAAAAAGAAGATTAATGAGCAATGTTATTCTCACCAAATTTCTCATCTTAAATGACATGACACAATCGCCATCATTCAATATTAATAGAATCCACTTATCTGATGACGAAGATTGTGTCATGTCATTTAAGATAAAAAAATTTGATAAGAATATTTGGTAATTAAACATAATATTTCTCTCAAATTTCATCAATCCAAGGAGAAAATTATGAGATTGGTAGATTACAGGCATTCAATTCAATAAGAGAGAAAATTAATGCATAAATACCATTGTATTTCTTCACACATGTTAAAATTAAAATGCCTATATAAACCTTTTGTTTGTGTTGGTTGTATTGAAACACAATTATCTATTGAATATAGCTTCTTTTTTTCATAAACTTCTTCGACAGAGATATGGAGAAAGCTTCATTCCTCTTGGCTTTCCTAGTGGTGCTCTTGGTCATTTTCTCTGGTAATTGGTTACTGATCTCTAACATTTCTTATACTTGTTATTGGAATTCAGTCAGTAATCCAGATCCACTCCGATATATTTTTTTTTGTTAATTTTCTTTAACGGTATCCACTTATATAGTGGGTTTTACTTGAAATTCATGATAGATGCTTTATCATCGCATAAAAAAAAAAGTGTATTGGACAAGAACCCACCACTTAATATCTAGTGGGTTCTACTTGAACTCATGGTAGAAGACTTATTATTAGGAAAAATTAAAAAGAAGTGTATCTCATAAGAATCGACTTATATATAGTGGGCTATGTTTTTCAAAATTTTGTTTATGTTTAAAAACGTAATCTGCAATTTATTTTTTTCTAAATGATAAATGATTTGTATTGAAGTTTTTTGATTATGTTTTTTTTTTCTTTGATCAAGTTTTGTGTTGAAAAGTTCGAGTAATTGGAAAAAAAAAATGCTGGCAGGATCTGTGGAAGGATCAGCAAGTGCAGGAACTGACGCCCTACCCCATTGCAAAACTACTGCTGATTGCTTACCTGTGTGCAAGGGTTGTGGATTCTGTGAATGCCTCAATACCTATTGTTTCCGTGGCTGCGATCACCAAGACACCACGAAGACACCACCACCTATCACCGAGCGATTTAAGGTCGAGAAAGCTTTAAAATTATGATATGACGATTTAACCTTGGGAGAGGACCAGAAAAAAAATAATATTGGAGGAATGATAAAGTATCCTTAATGGAGATACCATAACGTAACATTGACCAACTTTTTATCAAATTTTCCTTTCCAACCCTATACTGGTCACGGCAGAATTTGTGGGTCATACTCAATCATACTAATTCATTGCGGATTGAGTCAATTAATTGATAAATAAAAATGGAAAAAAATTGATAAAAACAACATCATGGATGACCACCTTTTATTTTTATTTTTTTATTTTACTGTCAGAGATGTTTAGACCAGTTTACATGTATTTTGACTTATCTCTTCTTTGATTTGGTCAAAGGCGGATCATCTGCACCGCGACTAAGGTATTTAGACGTTTAAGTTTACAGTTTGTCTCTATTATCACTTGAGTCACCATGGAGTTTACCACATTTTTCTAACTTACAGTTTATGTTGCCCTGTGCAAATGGTTCCAAGTCCCATCCATACTCAATTAAAGAAAGGCCTTTGCAATCAATTTTGAGGTAGTGATAAAAAAATTGGTGCTTTTATATTTATCTTCCAATCATACTATTGAAAGAAATGTGAATTTTCAGGGTTTTTTTAGCTTACAAACGAACCATCAGGCCAAAGACTACTAGGTTTCCTTAAACTTACACACCCAAAGCTTTTTTTTTTTAGTAAAATTGTGTTCAATTTCATCCACCAATAACGAGAAACAATAATTGGTCCTCGAATCAAAGCTAGAAGAGAACATAGAAGAGCGCATGGAACAACGGGTGGTCGAGCCCTTGAAAATGGAATCTATGAAGAAGAAAGTGAGGGCTCTAAAATTGAAGCCATGATACAAGGAACACATTCTTTATCTCACTACATACCTATATCATCCTTAATTTAAGCACATTTCTATCAAACAACCCATGTAGATGAACCATTTGTCGATCGTGGCAAGCAAAATTTGAATTTTAAATGAGTAAAAGTGGGATAAAAAAACATCCCCACATCAACGCTGGTCGTATTTTTTGGCCTGTGTCACATTATTCTAAAGGGTAAAGATTCTTGTACAAAATTTATTTTTTAGTTTAACGGTTAAAAATATTTGGGGTTAGTTTACGCGTATCTCGACTAATCTCTTTATATATCTTAATCTCTTCGCTGAGAGTAGGATATTTATGAAAATTTTTATTTCTCATAATCTGACTCCAAGTGTGCCACTCATGAGAATGAATTTAATGACTTAAAGAAATGCATTACCATCTTTTGATTAACGTTGAATTTGGTCAAGTTATTGCAATGAAACATAAGTCACCTTCAAATGAATTAATTAATTGAATAAAGAATAATTGATCTCCCAATTTTACAACCCCCCCCCCAAAAAAAAAAAAAAAAAAGAAAAGAAAAAGAAAAACTCAAGCAACATGTGTATATATATGGGAAACTATATGGAACCGTACCACTGGTTATATTTAGAGACACCTATGATTCATCATAGGTTTTCTTTGAGCAGTTGTAATTTATTCTTTATAAGTTATAAGTTGACTTTTAAAAATCCTTACTTCCCAAGATCAATCATGTACTTTAAAAATTATAACTTATACCTCAAATTTTTTTTGGTGTATATATATAGGCATGTTAGAGCATCTCTAAGAGAGGAGCTAAAGTACACTAAAATTTTAAAATTTAGTTATTTTACCCTAAAATTTCACTCCAATAGAACATTTTTAGAGCATCTAAAATAGTATGTTGTTATAGTGACACTTCATAAAATTTTGAGTGTCACTGTAACAACATGTATAAGTTTTTTATAATATTTGCTCTCTTCTCTTTTTCTTTCCTCTATGCTCTCTCTTGTTCTCTTTCCCTCTTATTACTTCCAAAGAAAAATAATACAAAAAGAATGAGAAATAATATTTTAAAAAAATACTTAAAAATATAAAAAATTTGTTGGAGTGTATATTAAAAAAGAGAGTAACTAAAGTAGAAAATATTATTTTTTGAGTAACTAAACTAATTTTTGTTGTTGGAGAGATGCTCTTAGGATCCTTGCACAAGCGTAGTCTGTAGCGGTGCTTTGTATTACAGGTTCTTAGAAATCAAAACCAACATATTTTCTAATGAAAATTGGCAAAGTATGCCACTCACATAATCAGATTGTAACTCATTTATAACAAATGAGTAGCACACTTCACCACTTTCCATTAAAAAAATCTAACTAATACAAACAGAAAAACTTAATTACTACAATTAACGAGTTTAAAAACTCAATTTTGTTGGGTTTCCCTCCTTTGTGGGACTCATCAATTTGCTAATTTTTTGGTGGCTTACCCGTGTATGACTCTTATCCAAGACTTGGTTTGGAGTCTTCAAGTTAAAAGGAATTTGGTAGCTACCAAAAGACTATAAGTTTTGTCCTTTTCTTTGGTTCATCTTTTCTCTGTTGGTTTGACAAGAAGACATATTTTCGGCAGTCTTTGGTTCAACAAAAATTCAGCCTTCTTCTTCTCCTTTTTGGTGCCAGAAAAATCTGCAAATTTGTTCTTCAAGTGGGTAACATTTCTTCACTTGATATTTGGGTTTCTTGCGGTTTGTTCTTGGAGATTTGGTTCACTTATTTTGTGAGGTATTTTCCTCTTGTGATTTACACCTTGGTGTGTTTGTAAGGCTTATGTCTTTTGGCCACTTTGTAATCTGATTTGGTGATAGTGGAAGAAACTGACCTACCGGTTGTCGTGGATGTACCTCAAGTTATTTGAGGGAACCACGTAAATCTTGTGTGATTATTTATTTTCTGTTATTTTATTTATATTGCTTCCATTGATTTACACTTGTGGGAAAGCCTATTTTCCCAACAAATTTAACCTGATTTTCCTCTGCCCCGTCGCTTATCGCATCTGGTGACTCTCTCTCTCTCTCTCACACACACACACACACACAAAATAGGGATAAACCATGTCTGGTGGCACACTCAAATACAAGAGAATAACATCTAGAAACCTACAAAAAAAAAACTTATACATATTAATGTTGCCCTAATGGAGTTGTGGAAGTGTCTTTTCAATATTTTATTGAAAAATGATTGTTGTTTTTATATGATTTTAAAGATAACATCACTATTAAAATTTTTCTATATATCAATATATACATATAACAGTGATATTGATGATGTGATCTACCACCTATGAATCTATACGTATGCAGGAAAACTATATGAAAATTTCTCCTTTCAGATTATAGTAATGATGTCAACTTGACATATTAAAGTGTTTTCCTTCTTATGTTCTGTATGCTTTGACTTAATCTAAGTAGCTAGCAATTGCTTTCCAGATAGTTAAATGTGTTGTCGCCCTGTGACCTAAAACAATTAAAACAAAGGGAAAAATAAATAACTTAACCTAATCTAGTTTGTGATAGCGTCTTTGATCGTTTCTAGCAAATGTTGGTTGGACAAGAATTGAGCATCAATTAATATTCCACAATCTTTTGTAAGGGAATGGTGAGGGGAAGGTTACAGTTATGGGTACGGAATTTGGAACATCTTAATTTTGAAAATTACTATCAATTTCAATCATTCACCTCCTGTTAAATTGGACAATATTGATGATTCTTGGCACTCTCAGTAATAAAAAAATCAATGGAAATTGTTTCAAGGAAAAAAACTTGTTTATATGCAATGAGCCGGGAGCATTTTTGTATAAAAAAATCATGGACAAAATTAATGTTGGCAAAGAATTAATGTTGACAAAATTAATTCAAGGCTTTATGGTCACCAACCCAAGAATTCCTCATTACTCCTGAGCTTAATTGTTCAAACCATCAGGGATAGGGCAATCTCTCTCAGGTTCAAGATTTCCTCAAGGAATCGAATTATAATCAGTGCATGGCAGCTCCCCAGCTCTTGTCTGGACACTTAAGTGATCCCCGAAGCTTCTAATGCCTTTGGTCTTTTTTTTGGGTTTTACAACTTGGCTTGCTTTCAAGGACAACTCCTTTGGGTACAAGCTATATTTGAGCAGTGGATAATAAAAAAAAAAAGAAGGAATCTCAATCACATTATTGTTGATTGTAGTTCTAAACAGCTAAACAACAATTTACTTAAAAAGATTTAAATTGTCGGAGATGGTGTAATTTAAATATTTATACTTCAACATAGACGAATAACAAAACTTCTCCATTTCTCTGAATATCTTCTTAGTCATATCGAGCCTTGCTTTACCCTTACCTCAATAATTCTCTTTTTTATTTTTGAGGTCTAGGTTTCTGAATTTTTCTCTTACCTGTGAACTCCTCTTCCCTAACTAGAATTACTGCACAAACACACACAGACAGATATAAATTCATGTTGGCAATGAAAGAATCGAATATGAACGTAAGAAACTTTATTTTGGAAATATTTAATTAAACAGCTGAGAAATGATAAGAAAAATACACAACCAGGAAGCTCATAAGTTTATTCCACAAACAATGATATTATTTTTTCCTCACAAGTATGTTTTACTTCCATGATTTCATACACAATTACTTCAACAACAGTCTAGATTTAAACATGAGTAATTATATATAATATAGAAATGATACTGTTTCCCTGTGTTGGATTCCAGGATTTCATGGAGCTACGAGTATTTCTTCGAAGCGTGTGAGAGAGACTCATTCAAACATTAGAGCCTCTCAATTCAGAGGAGCGTTCTCTAAGAGGAACCCAGATCAAGACAAATGGTAGAAGAGAGACAACAAAACATACCCAGGAAACCCAAGCTATGGTTGGTGGAACTAGTGTTCCGACCACTCCGAAGAAGGCAAACAAAATAGAAGCAGCCCCGAGTAGCTCGAGTATGATGGCGAGTTTGGGGAAGGAATCCCGTAGTAAGATACCGCTGAACAACGCGGTGACCCCTATGGGTAGTGACATAAGAATGAAGTGCCATGGAAGATGCGAGGAGGAATCATTGTGATAGACCGATATGAGAACAGTTGTTATTGGCATAACAAAGCCCATCACTACTTTTCCCAATTCCTGACCTCGAAAAAGCTCGACAATGGAGTTTGGAACTTCCTCTCTGTTGGTGCTGAAGGTAGGTAGTCCTTCAGTTGACCTTGATGAGGTCGAGGCTGTAGAGCTACAGCTACCTGCTGGGCTTGAACTTCCCCACCACCAGCTGTCACTTGTTTGGCTTCTTGTAGTACATGAATTCTGCACATGCAACGGTGAACTAATAGGTTTTTTGAGTTCGTTAGTGTCAGAACCCTGAAGATCATTGGGTGATGATGATTGATATTCTGAAATTCGGATAACAGTGGCATCATCAGAATGAGAATCAGAATCAGACATGGTTTGCGAGTGCGACGACGAGGGCGGTGGTCGGATAAATAGAGAGAGGAACCAAGAGTACAACATTCCAAACCAGTTATTGGCGTTCGTCATGACAGATTCTGAACCCATCTCTTCGGTGGCCGCCATTGAAGTACTCGCCACAACTCTTTCACCAGTTCGATAATTGGGTGAGGATGGAAGGTTTCAAATGAAATGATCGCCGTAGATATCTGGTGAACCATCCACCTCATTCTCAGAATCTGACTTGGGTGGAAGTTTTTTTTAAAGCTTAAACAACTAGCCATTGGAAATCACGTACAGTCAAACCCAAGGATACCTAAAGTGAAAATATGGACGACTTTAAAGTGACAATTTTTTGGGAACAAGTGATGAAAGATTGAATTAATTGAAATGTCTGTAAGATAGTTTGGATATTTTGACTGGTAGAAAAAAAAAAAAATTACGTACAATTAAATCAAACCAAAAAAATATTGGTGTAATGGTAACACAAAGTCGTTATTTAATAAAAATATAACAAATAAACAGGTAAATTCCACATATTATAATAATTATTCTGTCATATCATTTAGGAAAATGCTATTTGAATTTAAAAAATTAACATAATTTGTTGACCTAATGACGTGATTTCATTAGAACCATTGGATAAATACCAAGTTCCAATATTTAATGGAGCCTACAATTAATCCAAAGGTCCTAATGAATTAGGTCAGCAAATTAGGTCAATAAATTAGGTCCTAATAACATTGCTTTATCATTTAATAACCACCCCAAGTGGATTCAGCCTGCTTATTCACAAATTTATTATTGAATGATAGTATCACATGTTCATGATGACGCGATGTTATTATTAGACCTAATATTTCCTCAAACGCTAGATGTACTTTTGAGTTTCTAGAAAGGCGGGAAAATAGTATCCTCGAATCACACGTGTCCATTTTTAGTGGTCTCCTAAACCCTAACATCGTCGTCGTCACCACCACGGTCATTCCCATCCACCACAATCATCACCATCTCCTACCACCACCATTGTCGTCCACCACTTCTTATCCCTACTATAAACCGATATTTAAATTCATTTATCTCTTTTTTATATTTGTGATTTGATTTTGAATATGAATACATATATGTTTATTGTTTATCATTTTTTATTATTTTGTGTCAATAACTAGTAGATAAATATGATATATGCACATATCAAAGACTATATAGGTAAATAACATATATCTTAACACACATAATCAATTTTTTATCTATTTTTTCTTTTAATTTTAGAAGGATTAATTTTGGTGAGTTTAAAAAAAAACTAATCCTTCTATTTTTTCATCTTTCTTATTTTTCTTCTTTATTAAACATAATATTTTATCTATTCCTCTAACTTTCTGTCTTTCTAATTTTTTATCGTTCAATTTTCTATCATACCAAATAAAGCATTAAAGCCCTCAAATGAATAGTAATATTTGGGGCCCCCAATTTTTTTTTTTTATGATTCAATTAAAATAATTTTAGGGCCCCCAAATTTAACTAGCCTTGCAATTTTAAGTTAAATTTATGAACCAATAAAAAATTGACACAATATTAATGAGTTTTGAGTAGTTTACAATTTTTTTGATCAATGGGACCCACAAATTTTGTGGGTCCCATTGATCAAAAAAGTAGTTTACATTTCAAAATTATTACTAAACATTCATTTTTTTGAAGAGTAATGCTAGATAAATTTAAAAATTAGACTTGATAATTTCAACAATTGAATAGGTAGTGAGTCTTAATAAATGGTAAGACCCACAGTGAAATCAATGATTAAGATTATCAAGTCTACTTTTTAAGTCCCCGTAGTATTGTTCTTTTTTGAAAAATAATTTAGTTGTATTAATAAATTTTAATTTTAATTTTATATATTTTTAACCGATAACAGATTTAATAATATTTTAGTCTCTAAATTCAACTTCAATTAATAAATTTTTTATAACTAAAACATGAATGCAAAACTAGTATTTTTACATCTCAAACGCAAGAAAAATAATTTTTAAATAAATATATAAAAAATTTTTAATATATATTTTATCGTATCTATTTTATTATATAGCATTTGTCCCCTCTAAATATTTTCGCCTAAGCCCCATATTGATTGGGCCATGTATGTTCCCACTCATGTCTTCGTTTTGCATAGTTACTCAAGTTTGTTTGTTTGTTTTTTTTTTTTGGAAAGTAAAAATTGCATAAATAAGAACCATAGAATGTACATATGAGGCAGAGACTTTGATAAAATACATTAGATTAGGCTCACCCTTAGTTATACAACTGGTGATACTTCAATACAATAGTGAGGTAATCCAAAAGACAACAAAATAATCACTCCAACCAACAGAATGACTTGGTAAACAACTAATAATGCTAGTGGTTTTCAGGTTGTTGAGTTTATGTAGGAGAATAATAAAAAATTAATAGAAGGAGTCTCATATCGGTTCAAGGGGTAGAGGTTTTTCTCTGTTTGGTTTGCAGAGACTGGGTATTTCTTAGGGTTTTCCTAATGGAAGTTTTGTTTAGGATTCTTTCACTATCTTCATTAAACCCTAATCAGATTCTTTAGGATCTTCTCCCATTATTGTTTTGAAACCCTTCTATTGTTAATCTTCTAGCTAAAAACCCTTTTGTTTTTGTCTTTCAATTTTTTGTATTTTTTGCAGGTCTTGAGGAAATTTTGTTTGACTCACAGAAGTCTTGGGCTCTTGATCAGTCTTGTCAAGTTCAAGGGTGGAGTGGTCTAATAATAGGTGTTCATATGGAGGAAGAATTGCAGCAAATGTGGAAGCACTTCACGTTATCCAAAGAAGAACAATATTATATACACATTGGTAGTGAGGCAGATGAGTCGTTGAAGGAGAAAGCTAGAATCTGTTTGTTTGGAAAGGTTCTCTCTGTTAAGCCTTTTAACAAGGCTGCCTTTAAGAGCACAATGAGGCTGGCCTGGGGTATAATCACCAAGGTGGAGTTCAAAGGGTTGGGTGTAATTTATTTTTAATACAGTTCAATAACATGTTGGATAAGAAGAGAATCCTTGAAGGTATGCCTTGGTCTTTTGAAAACCAGCTTGTGTTATTAATAGAGTATGATGGTAGTGTTCAGACATCCAATGTCCTATTTAAATGGTGTCCTTTATGAGATCAGATCTATAATTTACCAGTCAATAGTATGAATAAAACAATAGGGAGAACATATAAATCAAACTGGGAATTCTTCTCGATTAATGCCAACTAACAGCCCTCTAAATGATGGGCCTAAACCATATGAACCTAACCCATTTGAGATGGAGGTGGAGAGGGCAATAGAAGAATTAGTAGATATTCGAATTCGAAAGACAACCCAATCCATCAGCTTGAGTAAATCGATTGATAAAAGGAAAAGCTGCAATCGATGTGGACAACAAGGAGAGTTCAAGGTCAAAGAAGGGGAAAAAGAGGAATTAGGGTTCTACTGAAGCTCCAACATTAATTAAGTCATCCAATTGACTTTGGCAAGAGGAAGATGTGTATAGATGGGGCAGCTATGGAGGTGGATATCGCCTCTGGTCCAACGAAGATGTGTATAGATAATTAACGTGAAGAATTAGGAATGAATGGGATCTTCAAGGATTCGTTAGGAAGATCCGATGGCCTGGTCTTATTATAGAGAAAATGTATTTATTCTTTTATATCAAAATCTTTCTCATGGTCATATGGATTTGGTGATTAAAGAAGAGAGGGGTATCTAGTCAATTTAGAGTGAAAATTGAGATGGAGAAAATAATAATTTTTCTCTCATTTTTCGGTATTCAAAAATGGTTCTTTCAAAATAGAAGTTATCAATGAATCTTGAGTTTGACATAAAAGATTTGAGCACTTAAACTTTCAAAACTTGAAGATTCTTTAACAAAGAACATAGTTTATGGATTGTTATTTATACAAGAACTAAAAAAAGTGAAGAATGTTCACTTGAAAAGCATCATGAATATCATTTTCCAAAAGAAAAAGCTTGAAAAGCCAAATCATCATTGTTGCTAATTGTTCACACCGATATATACGGATCATCAAAAACACTTTCTAATGGAGGTAATAAATATTTCACAATCTTTGTTGATGATTTTTCAAGAATGACTTGATTTTATTTTATGAGGAAAAATTTAAATTTTTTCAAGTGTTCAAAAGTTTGTTAAAAGGTAAAATGGAAATTACATTAATGTGTTAAGAAGTAATAGAGGTGGTAAGTACAATTCTAGTGAATTTAGTAAGTTTTGTGACTACATTGGTATGAAAAGACAATTGATAGTTGGATACATTCCACAACAAAATGGAATGACCGAAAAAAAGAATAGAATTATTGTTGAGATGACAAAATCAGTGATTTATAAGAAGGAATTACCTAAACCACTTTAGGAAGAAACGGTCTACATGATAATTTACTTGATGAATAGATGTCGAACAAAGGTTTTGGAAAATTAAACTTCAATTGAAGCATGCAGTGGAAGGAAGCTGTCGGTGAACCACTTAAAGATTTTTGTGAGCATTTGTTTTGCACATGTTTCCAAAGAAGTGAGGTACAAGTTTGATGAAAGTAGTAAAAAATACATTTTTGTAAGTTATACATAAGTTATAGACTATTTAGTTTGAAGAGAAATAAAGTGATCATTTGCAGAGTTATTCTTTTTAATGAAAAAAATTCTTGGAATTGGAAAGAAAAGAATATTCAAAATTAAGTTGTTGTAGCAAATGGAGATTATGAAAGTTTTGAGCATGAAAATAAAAATGATAAAGTTGAAATTCCACCACAAATGTTTCCAACACCCGGCTCTTCTTCATTATCTTTTATTTTCTCAAGTTCAAACACTTTATCCCCAATTTCAACTTCAAGAAAAATGAGAAATTTTAGTGATGTGTATGCTACATCTAATTTTTGTGCAGTTGAACTCAAAAATTTTGAAGAATAACAATCAAAAAAGATATTTGAAAAAAAAAATGAAAAATGAAAAGAAACGAAAAGAAATAAGTTATTTGGGACAGAGATAATGAAAAGAAAAGGTATTTAAGTTATTGAGATAATAGGTTATTGAGATATGAAATAAGTTATTCAAATAAATTTTTGGGACTTCTACA